GGGAATTTCACCTACAAAATTCCCCCAGCCAGCCATCCTTCCCCCCCTTTTAAGGGGGGTTTCCCAGGGAAATTCTGGGAGTTGAAGTCCACTCATCTTAAAGTGGCCAAGTTTGGACAACACTGATTTAAGCCAAAGACCTTTGGAAGAAGACATCAAGAGGCAACCTCTTTTAAGTCAGGGTGAGCGGGCTTTTTTGGGGGTAGGTGGGTGGGGACAATCCCTGACTCCTCTCTGACCTGACTCCTGAATTTGGAGGCAAATCCTCCAAGAATCAGTAGGGCCATTTCAGATCATGTTTACAACTATTTTAAGCCTTAGAAGAAGCTTAAAACTTTACAATAATCTGATCCAACTTCCAAAAAAAAAAAAAACAGCTTTAAAAACATTAGAGAAAACCTGGAAAAAAAAAAAAACTAATTTCCACGTCTCGGCCGGATCCATTTGGTTCTTTGAGACAAAAAAAAGAACAAGAAAATGGGAGCATCTTTCTGGCCAGGAGACAGTTTTCTGCCTTGTCTTTAAAAAATGGGAGAAGGGTGCCCGGCGGATGTAGGGACAGATTCCTGCCAGAGTGTCCAATGACCAGAGGTTCCCTGCTGCCCCCCTTGACGTCTCCCTTTGCTATTACAGATTATTCGGAAAGTGGTGCGGCGACTGGACACGGAAGACGGGCGGCCGCAGGAAGAGGTGATTGTCGTGAGTCCCCCCCCTCTCCCAGCTTGGGGAACTGGATGCTCAAGCTGGTTTCCCACTATGCCATTTGGTGGCTGGAGAGGATGAGCAGCCCTGAGCAAGTAGCAGCCTTGCTCCTTTGCCCAGTCCAGATTCCCGATTCACCCGGTGCCCTCTGACACCCTTCTCCTTCTGTCTCTCTGCCTGTTTCTCTACCCGTCTGTCGCCTGTGGGTTTGCTGGTGATGGGCTCCTGCTTGGCTCCCTCTTGCTGGTGCTCCCCCAGGACGAGGATCAAGGGAGTGTCCCAAGATCGGAACTGCTTGGGGGCAGGATGGGGGCTCAGATAGTGAAACGAGCCAGCCTGAAAAGGGGGAAACAGTGATGCCCGACCCTCCAGTGGCCTCTTTGGAGGTAAATCACCCCTTCGCTCTTCATACTGGCCGGGAGGGGAGGGCAGTGTTTGACCTAGGGATGCACAATGAGGGGGGGGGAGACCAGGGGCCCCGCTAGCTTCCAGCGTCATGTAGGGAGAGCCAGATATAGAAAAAGCAAGTTGAATTTAAGTAGTTTGCACATACACTGAATGGAACTTCAAAATAAAAATAGATTTACTCTCCCAGCATAGATTTAAATGTTTTTCTCCTTTGGTCATGCTCAAATTATGGTTGGCCTTTAGACTCAGGAGGCCATCTGCTCTGGAGAACGAGGAAACAGACACTTTATTTATTTCCCCTTTCCTTAGCCAGGACGCTGAATGGAAGTGTGGACTTCAGCTCCCAGGATTCTCCTGCAAGCATGCTGATTGCTGAGAATTCTGGGAGTAGAACAGGACACAGCTGATAGGCCCCCTCAGCTGTGTCCAGTTCTGCTTCAGGGATGATCGGCAGTTGTCCCACTGGTTGGAGGATTCTGGGAATGGAAAGTCGACACTTCTGGACAATTTGGGAAAAGGGTTTATTCAAGTTAACTTTTTGTCTTTTCCTCTCTCTCATGATTCAGAAACGACCCATGGTAAGAGGAGCATATTAAGAGCCAAATATTTGATCTGAACTGGAGTCAGAGTTTTGGGAGGGGGGACTTTTTCCTTCTTCCTTTGAGCTGGTAGCTGCCATCCTTTCTTTCCCCCCCCACCAAGAATAAAAATATTCTGTACACTTTGGGGAAGCAGAAGTGTCAGTCATAGATTCAGGTGGAGGTGCTCCTCAAAATTCAATCTGGTGGTGCAGTTTTTAACCCCCCCGCCCCAAGCTTAAGGCTAAAATAGGCGTGCTAACTCTGTGCTAGGCTTAACATGCTTTTCTCTCTGCTTGCAAACTTTGACCCAATATTTGGGTTTTGCATGCAAAGCTGCCCTGCCAAACCGATCTAGAAATGGCACTTCCCAAAGCTATCCTGCTTCCAGCAACTCTGCCAGAGCTGATACTGGTATTCTGTCTTTGGTTCATTGGGCAAGAGAACTGGCATTCCTGGGGTGTCTTTCTCTTGCTACCATCTGAAAGGGTCCTTGGGGTTTGGGGGTTTCCTTCAATGTAGACACGCATCATCCTCCTGCTTCTAAGGCTGAAGCTGTTCTGGCTAATCTTCCCCCTCCCTGAAAAGCCCTGAATGAGCTTCCTAGATTTGGTTGGGAATTCCCAGTGCCTTTTCGGGGCTTGGAGACATGTCTGTATCTGTGCTGCGTTGGGTCCCTGGGGTATTCTCATTGCTGCTTCCAACGGACTCATAAATTGGGGCTTGTCCTGAACAGAAGAAACTCCTCCTTTGGCTGCCTAAGACATGGACCCCAGTATCTGTGGGGCCTGCCAGAGATCTGTCTCCTTTTTTGCATTGCTGGCCTTTGACTGTGTTCACACAACGTGTGTAATCGGGCCAATTGAAAACCAAGTCGATGCATTCGTATAGCACACAAAAGCCTCCGTAGTGTCGCTCTGGCACAGTGATGTTTTGGAGGGCCGGTGTGTAGGGTGAACCCAGCCTGTTTGGTTATGGTGGTTCTCATGCACTGTGAAAACCCAGAAAATGGGCTCCTGGTTTTGAATGCAGCCTTCAATTCTGCTGTGAGCATTGGGTCGTGGGCGGTGGGGGTCCTGTTTGCCTTGGGGGCCTTGATAGAGATCATATGACATCACCAGAAGATGACACAGTTGGACTTTTTTTTTACTTGCAAGGCTACAGGACTGTCCTAGGCCTTGCAAAGACTTGAGGTCCTCTCCAAGGAAAGGATCTGCCTCATTTGCTTGAAGAGGTACCTTAAGCATGCAGAAGGCACCCTCAACCATCTCAACCCCCAAAAGGCATAAAAAGGGAGAGAGTCCAAAATGTACAGTCCCACCTGCTTGGAGGGGGTTCTGGGGCCTGCAGATGGAGTGCTGGGTGGGGGCTGGTCTAGGCTGTGTTCAGGGTACAGGGTGCACACCCTGTGTAGGGGAGGGCAGCATTCTGGGAAAGCACGGTCAGCCTCAAGGCCTCGAAGTTCATCCTGAGACGTTCAGGAAGCTTGAATTCTGCACCCAAAGCAGCGTTGCATTTTTGCAAATGCATGGCAGCAGCAGGCAGCCTTTCAGGACTTCCTCAAGCCGTGGCCTGGTTGTTTTTAAAAAGAAGAACTGTCGAGATGGCTAGGAAGAGAGGAAGGGGTAGGCCTCCCCTCCCTCCAGGACTTCCTTCCATCCTTCTGGCTGAGGTTGAGCCATAAGTAAAGGCAGAGAGCTCTGATCCCTAAGACGTTTTGTCAGTCTTGCTAGATGTGGCTTGGCTCCCCTTGGCATTCCCAGTGCGCAGCTCCCCCTTTCCCTCCAAGGGTGCAAAGCACATGGAACATCCTTTCCCATCGTTGCCCAAGCCTGTTGTCCAGGTTGGGGCCTTTAAGGTTTGCCTTTGATTCCATCCTTGGTTGATCCACGACTTGATCTCATCCGCAGGGATGGCAGCCATCAGCCAGCTAGGAGGCACACCCGGTTTCAGCTCCGGTTTTACAGGGGTGCCTTTCCCCGAAGCATCCTGGGAACTGTACTGGGGCGAAGGAGGCTGGGTGCTTTCCATGCGCTCCCTCTAGAGACCGGCTTTCTGGGAATGGCTGAGAGAAGTAGATGTGGTGGTGCGCCCCATGTGAACGTCGGTGCCAAGCTCTTCTCTTTCTTCCTTCTGCCCCCAGGGCCTCACCTCGACACCCATCCACTAACCTCCACTCTCCTCGTTCCTCTCCGCGTGGCCAGGCGAGTGGAGCGACGTGCTTCCAGAGGCAGGGCTGTCTGCCTGCGGCTCTTTAGGTTAATGGCATGATTTCCGTAAGAGACATAACTTTACCGTCTTAATCCGCATGACCGACCGACTGCCGACGCATGAGCTACTGCTCGTTCTCCTGACTTCGAAAGCCGGGGCCAGGACAATTCCCCAGGAGAAGGAGGAACGATGCAATTGTGTTTGTGTGTGTGTGCGTGCGTGCGTGTGGCGGGGCCTTCTTTCCAGAGCCCCTTCTTGACGCGGTGCCTTGGCCTCCTGGGGAAGGAGTAAGCTGGACGGAGTTCACCTGCCATCCCATCCTCCCTGGCTCAGCCTTCGGGTTGGCTCTGCGCAGCCCTCCTCCATCCGTCTCGAACCCCAGAAGGTTCTGCCTGAGCTTTTCCGGCCACTCCTCCCAGTTGTTCTTCCCGGGCTCGGATGGAAAGCGTGGCTCGGATAGTTGCTGAGGTCTTGTCTTTAGAACACGAACAGATACTTACTATGCAAACACCGGCAGAGGCGTTCGGCAGAACTGTACTGGCCTGATTCCTTGGAAACATCCACCGGCGGCCGGCCCTTGGGGAAACCGAGGTGGGGAGAACTAGAAGGTCTTCTGGTCCGAAGGTCTCCCGAGCTCCTCCCAGTCTCCTTCGAACCCATACACACATGCACACAGGCGTGCCCAGACCCACCCACACCCACACACGCGGGGGGTGGTGAGAGACAGGTGGGAAAGGAAGGAGAGGTAGAAGGGCTAGCACGTGAGCCTCTGCCAATACACACCACCAAGTGTGTGCGTTGCGGTGCCTTCCCGCAATTTGGCCCCGGGCTGGAAGTGTGCAGCCACCCGTGTGTGCCGATGCTTGGCTCCACCCAGCACAATCTGTTGCTCAGGAGAAGGGCAGCATTGTCCCCTTACCTGCACTTCCATACGGGAGGACCCCAAGGGCCTCCTCACTCAGCACAGACGTGGCATCTGCCAACACTTCTTGGACCAGTCCTAGCTGGGGGGAGCTGAATTCCTTCCCTCTGCTCCCCTCCCAGCAACTTCCATGATCAGCCATGGCAGGGAGGGAGTGGTGCTCCTCCTCCTCCTCCTCCTCCTCCTCCTCCTCCTCCTTTTTTTTCCGTCCCCCACAATCAGGATTGGCTGCCCCCAATGCTTGGGAAAACCCGTTCTCCACCCACTTCTCCTCCAACAAGCTACACTCTTAAGGTAACTACCGTGAGCAATAGGTGGGTCCTCTGACTTCTGCTTCCATCTTTGGAGATCCCCAAGGGGTGCAGGGGCAGGGGGGCCCACAGGGTATGGCCCCCAAAGTCAAGACGATGGCCAAGAGGAGGCGGTTGATTGACTGTCACGGCCACCATCTTGGATGTCGTCACCATCCCCTGTGGTCGCCCCTGGCAGCGTGGCACTCCTCCCTGACCGCAGCACCACTTTCTCGGCCTCTGTCCCTGGGACCCTGCCCCCCTGGTCTCCTGCTGCTGCTGCTGCTGCTGCTGCTGCTG